TATACATTTAATACAGTTAAAGCAAAAATTATCGAAGTGCGACGGAATCCATACTTAGTCTAGACTATTAATACTTAAACCATCCGTGTGCTTGCCGTAAATGTCCCACTTCGATTGAGTTTCAATAAATTAAGGGAAGTCACAATGTCATCTAAAAGAGGTTCGACTCAATGCTGACTCAAAATTGAGCAAGGTGTAAAGAAATCGAGAGTTCAACAATTCATGTTGTAACCGTAACGACTTTTAAGTTATAAAATTGATGGAAGTGCAATGGAATCCACACTTAATCCATCATGATCAGTAAGTGATTGCCTTAAATCTCCAGTTTAGATTCAATTTATGGTCTCTTTATTGCATTCTTCGGGTTCCTAAGTTCCATTCAGGTTCAAAATATAGCGATTTTAACATGAAATCAATAGCGTGCGAGTACCAATTTAAAATATAATGTCCTATTTTAACGAATAACATGTTAATACATTTTATACCTACAAAAAGCGTTTCGGCAACGACTTCGTGCGTTCCGAGCATGGCCTGACGGGTAGATATCGACCTACCAATAAAACGATCGCCATGCTTGCTAGCATTAGAACGTTCATCAAATGTCATGCGGATAGCATGCCGAATGAGGTGGCTGACGAAGGTGGGGTTTCAAGACCGAAACTTCGACTGCCAGCTGCTTTTACGAAGGATCAATTTATGAGTCCATCAAATCAGACATTGTGGCCGCTGGCCTTGAGGTCGTGTTTGAGTCCAACTTTTATAAAATGTAGCGGAAACACTTTTTTCACGTTTCCCCCGCGCAATCTAACACGTTCACGAAGTGCGCCGTCTGTCATGAACAGAAGGAACGTATACAATATGTTGCTCTTCCTCGAGATCGAGAACGAGCACGAAAGGATATGAAAGTTCACCAAAGGCGGCAAGTTGAACATAGATTGGACTATAGTCGAGCGAAGACTGATTCGATAGTCCGTTCGAACGAGTGTTTGTATCTCATCATTGATGGCATGGATCAGAAGAAGACAATTATCCCCCATATTGGCTAGGTGAACTACTCGAAAGCACTTAGGCACGAGATGATGATGAAGGCGAATCTCACAGGTGTCATTGCACACGGTAGAGACCTTAGTATTTATGTCTACATGTGGTTTCCGTATTTCAAACACGATTCGAACACAGTCGCTATTTGTCTTATGAGAACCCTTGTCGAAATGCAAGGGAGTGAGACATCACTGCTACCGTTTTTACGCTTTCAGGCAGATAATTGTTGGCGGGAAAATAAGAACAAGTACATATGTGCGTTAGTGACACTCTTGGTTAAGTTCAAAGTTTTCCAAGAGGTAGAAATAGGTTTCATGCTGGTGGGACATACCCACACAAACGTTGACGCTACTTTCAGCGTTTTCTCAAACACGATTCAATCAAAACCCCGATGAAAGCTATGCAGGTCCTTTGTGGCCATTTGACCCGCCTCCAATGCAACCCCTTCCTCGAAATGACTATTGTAATAACAAAAATGGTGTTATTCGATTCCTCGAGTTGCTGGAGAGTAGGCGGTCAATGTGGTGCACTTACAATGACCATGAGGTGAGTAGGAGAGAAAGAGCTTTGTGTTACTGGGAGGACGTTATCAAACATGGCGATAAGATCATCGCCAACGGGTTGTCCTCACAACCTCATGAAAGTTTTTGGCCACGACCACGGCTGCTCGAAAGCGATCAACAACCTTCTCTTCGCGGTGTCAACATCGACGACAGGGAATCCCCGTTTGTTGGACGAAGAAAAGGTCGTCTGAAGACCAGTTTCGACCCCCTCGTGCATGTTGACGTGGACACTTTTCTTATCCTTCGCCCCTCCGACGATGATTTGTCCAGCGGTGTGCCAATCTGGGTGGGCAACGCTTTTTCTCGGGTGGTTGTTGAAAAATATTCGCATAATTATAATCAACTGCTAGTGGAATACTGGGTGCCAACTGGGAGAGCAAAGTCGCTCGAACAATTGTATGAAAACACATGGGAGAAATTATGAAAAATGACTGAGTAGACACAATGGCGGCATGTCGACTCTTTCGCTTTTGGTTGGGAGAGACCGACCAGTGGTACAAAACCGTTCACGACTGGACTTGTCATTCCTTTCAATATTCGACGGAATGTCGAAGCTGCACTTCGAGAGCCGAGTCCATCTGTTGAAGGGAGTCTCGATGCGGGGGACAAGAGCGACGAGTGCACGTCCGCCGAATAGAGTGAGGGAGTAAGAGTTTTGATAATATGACTGTTCGGACGGGAATTTTGAAGGGAGCATATTGTTTTTTTAACTTAGTTAATTGCGATGACTCTGTGGTGCGACAAGGTGGCGAATTTTGTCCACGGTCTGGGGTTGATTTTTTTTTTATGGTTAGGTGATGGTTAAGCAATTTTTGAAGTTAAGTTAAGCGTGAAGGCGATTCCTCTGCTTTTTCGACATTTCATTTTCGTTTGTGTTTGCATTGCATGTCTTGTGTAGGGAGTGCAACAGGAGTCATGGCTCATTGGCATGATTATTCGTATCCCATTCACCCTTCTGCATGCGGATTGCGTGGTGCGGGCGACGATACCGAAATTCTCGAGCAGTTGACAACGGAGTTTGAAAACGACCCATGGATAAGCGTCGTCCCTTCTTCGACAAGCCTCTCGATGCATGGTCCAAGGCAAAATGGGATAGAGTGATCTTGGCAAGGAAATGTCCATGGCATAAGGAGTACAAGTTTGTTTCCGCGATGGAGTGGGAGAGCTCAATTAAAGTACCTCATTATGCCATTGGCGTCAGGCAACTTCCGTCTCTGCGCGCTGCACTCAGACATGAAGAGAATAAGTGGTTTTACCTTAGGCTGGACAACATTACGAGGTCACCTCGGGTGTGATCTGCGGACTTGAAACAAGAGTTGTTGGACTGTGCATCTTACAATCCGTCTTTGGAAGTATATCCGTTGCGAGGTGCCGGAATACGGCCAAAGGATGTGTCGTACTGTTGCATACGGTTGTTTGTGGCCGGTTCCGACTTCTGCTGCTGTTCTGCAGAGTGTTGTGTGTGGCATGTTCAAACCGAAAGCGGACTTTGGTAGATGTTGTAGTGCTAGTTTTTTGCAACGAGCTTAGAATCTATGGTCGCAACATGGGGAATTTGCGCCTTCTGTACGAGAACGGACAATGCGATTTGGAGATTGCCGGTCAAATTGATAGGTTCATATGTGGCATGAGGTAGAGCAAGTGGCATGTTGTATGTGTGACGCCATCGATAAGTCCTTGACAGGTGTCGGTAGATTTGTAAGGATGAAGTACATTTCAGTGTTCTCGAGGGTGGCGACGAAGGGACAACCACAAACCGTTGCTTTCGGATCGTCAATGAATGTCTTATACGGGTTTTGTTCTCATGGGACGCGGGGACGCTGGTAGAAACTTTAAATTTTGTAAATGATAGCATTTTAGAAAGTTTAGATCATTGCAGCTCGTAACATTTATTTTAGATGCAATTCAATGTAGAGTTGACTTGTAGCGTTTAATTTAGACGTACTTCAATCTTGCATTTACGATTTCTTGCACGTGTCCATACAATTTTCAACTTTTAATTTTTAATGATTACGATGTTTTTTTAAGTGAGACGGAATCCATGGGACTCACGTGAATTTCAGTTTAATATGACAATGTCATATGAGTTTATGATTATTTGTCGAAGTGCGTCAGAATCCATACTTAAACCATTTTGTTTACCGTGTGATTGCATTGACTCACCGATCGATTTCTAGTTTCTGCTTCACACAATGTCATGTATAGCACGTCTAACTCAATGCTCAATGATATACGAAATTAATCGAAGTGTGATGCAGACTCTTAGGTCATTCACAACCTTGTCGTTTAGTGTCTCATTACGTCTGTTGTTCGAGTGAATTTCAATGTATGACAATGACATGTCAGTTACGTCTTTTAAGTAACATAAATTTTTGAAGTGCGATAGAGTCCAAAATTATCGAAGTGCGTTGGAATCCATACTTAAACCATCTCGTTTACCGTATAATGACCTTTACTCTTCGATTGAGTTCCAATTTATGCAAATCACACCAGATACGTCTTTTAAGTATGCACATAAATTATCGAAATGCGATGGAATCCATAGTACTTAAACCATCTCGTTTACCGTGTGATTGCCTAAGGCTTAAAGTTTACTCTTCGATTGAGTTCCAATTTATGCAAGTCACAATAGTTACGTCTTTTAAGTTAGTGCATAAATTATCGAAGTGCGACGAAATCCATACTTAAACCATCTTGTTTACCGTGTGATTGCCTTAAAGTCACACTTCGATTGAGTTTCAATAAATTAATGCAAGTCACAACGTCATCTAAAATAGGTCCGACTCAATGCTGACACCAAATTGAGCAAGGTGTGATGGAATCGAGAGTTCAACATTGTTGTTAAGTTTCTCATTGCATTGAGTGCAACAGTTGAACTTCTCTTGAGTTTCACTTTCTGACAACTCCATGAGTCCATGTTATACCATTAAGTTACAAAATTTATGGAAGTGCAATGGAATCCACACTTAATCCATCATGTTCAGTAAGTGATTGCCTTGAATCTCCAGTTCAGATTCAATTTATGGCTTGTCAATTGCATTCTTCGGGTTCACTACTTGTATCCTAATTTTCATTCTTGTCCAAAAGATAACGATTTTAACATGAAATTAATAGCTTGCGTGTACCAATTTAAAATATAATGTCATATTTTAACGAATAACATGTTAAACCTATCTAACCACGACCTAAACAAGTCATTCATACAACGTTGGAAAGTTGTTGGCGCGTTGGTTAGTCCAAAGGGCATAACTATGAACTCATAGTGCCCATATCTAGTTCGGAACGTGGTTTTATACTGATCATCAGGATGGACCTCTATCTGATGATATCCGGACTTCAGATCTATCTTTGAAAAATATGTGCAACCCTGCACCCGATCTAAAAGATCATCTATACGGGGCAGTGGCTCCGCATTCTTCACTGTGATAGCATTGAGACCCCTATAGTCAATGCACATTCTAAGTTTTCCCTCCTTCTTGGGGACAAATAGAACAGGTGCTCCAAATGGAGACGAACTGGGCCTAATCCAGCCCTTCTCTAGGAGTTCATCTAACTGTTTGTGCAGCTCCTCCAACTCCCGTGGGGACATCCTGTACACTGCTCCTTTAGGAGTCCTAGTGCCAGACTCTATCTCAATGCGATGCTGGATAGGCCGTGAGACTACCCCTGTCGGCGACTTAGCTAGGTCTGTGTACTCTTCCAGCAGCTTGGCAATAGCAGGATCTAAGGGTTTTTCCTCTTTAGGCTCACTTACCGACCTAACATGGGCTACAAAAACTTGTTCCTCTAGCTGCTCCTTCTTCACTAACCTCGCAAACGCAGGAGCGCTAAGGCAACAATGTTTCAAGGAGTTGTCTACTCCTGACACATGAAACACTGAAACAGACGGGCATTCTTGACCCCGCCTGACGGGCTAGGGAGCCTACACTCATGCTCTCTCAAATGGAGTGTGGCCCTTGCTGCCTCTCCCCAGTCCATTCCTAGGACTATATCGAAGCGAAGGTTATCCTCTACGAGGAGAGTCAGGGAATGGAGAACTATCTTCACCTTCTCATCTTTCTCTAGGCGGAAGTACGCCTAGACTCCCTCTACATAATACTCTACTCGCATCGTGCGATTATCAACGAGAATACTTACTATGGGTTCTGCTAACTTTTGGACTTTCAATCCCAACTTTAACTTTTGCAGCGCCTTTCTACTAATATAGCTGCGAGTGGTTCCACTGTCTACGAGGGTCACTCTGCTCCAAAAGACCTCTACGTGTACTAAGAATAACTGTCCTCTACTGTCTTTCTTCATCTTGGCCCATGCGGGCATCCTTTCCTTCAGCTCGTGCCTAAAGAGACTAACACATGCAGTCTCTGGACAACTATCTAGGCACCGACCTACAACCTCTGCCATAGGTGCATGTGGTGTGGGAGTTTTCTGCCGGCTCGCGCTCGTTTCCCCACATGGCCTGGTAGGGGCAGTTACAACCCCCCTATCGGCGGCTGCCTTTTGACCTCTATGCAGCCCATCGGGCCTCTCTATACTTTGGACAATATTTGATGATGTGGCCAGGGTCACCGCAATACATGCACTGCCCCTGGTCCACACGCTGTTGCCAGACGCGCTTGTCCAGGCCCAAATCTTCCCAAGGTCGGCCCTGTGGCAGACCTGGGTGTCAACCACTTCTCCTATAGGGTGACCCATTACCCCTATTTGGTGACCTATTTCCATAACGATTTTGCGGGGGACCTTGAACCCTGCCTCCCGCTTGGCGGTTTCCCCTGCCGCCAACCCCCTGATTGCCCTGGGAACGACCACCCAAGGCCCGGCCTCCTTGGCCCTGGCCTCTACCCTCTCCTTGTGGCCTCCCTCCGGCCGCGACAGCAGCGTAAGTCCTCCCCTTGCCAATGCTACTGTCCACTTCCTCTTCTAGTCCCCACTCTATCTGATCGTAGGGGACTTCATCCATACCACCCTCATCTAGCATAAGGATTAGGCGATCCTTTGTTTTAACCTGACCCGAGATGGTACGGCCTTTCCACTTTTTACCCTTATCCAGGTCCTTGTGTCAGAAAGTGGAGAATGGCATGGACCGTGCTTCAAATGTTACCACTTCCTTGCTCAAAGCATCATAGGTCATTGTAGGCTGCTGTTTTTTTTCAAAGAAATGCCCGCGTAACTGTTCGGGCATAGCGCGGTAGAAGAGATTGACGAACTGCGTCTCAGTGACCTCATGATCAGGAACGGCGACCAACTCGTCCATTACACCTTTGAGTGCCCTAGCACTCCTCCATTGACGAGAATGCATGGTTTGCAGTTTATCTCAGGCTTTGACACTACGGGTCACGTCTGCAAACCATGCCCTCAATAACTTAAGGAAATTGTTGAGAGGGGTGAACGCTGAATATGCAACTATGTCATCGTTGCAATTGGCGGCGCGATACAGAGAACGGGCGAAGCTTGTTGCTTCCTCCCTAAGAGCATGGATAGCTATCAGAACGTGTTCGTCTGGGGCGACTTTCTGTAAGTGCACATACTTCTTAATATTCGTTTCCCAGTTGTCAAAGTTCTCCTCCTTTCCACTATAGAAATCGGAAAATTTCACTTTGACAGGCTCCCTACGAGGACGTGCTTCTTCCTCCTTGGGTGCAGCCAGCCTGGCGCCCTCTATGGCGCCCATGGAATAACGCTTTGTGCTCTCTAGGCGCGCCTTCACCTCTGAGCCCACCTTCATCACCAACTCACGTGCAAATTCCCTCAATCCCAGCCGTATAGACCGCAGGGCTATGTCCTGACTCCTAACAAATTGATATTGCTCTTCCTGGACCTGGGTCGGGCGTTCTATGTTCCTTGCCATGAACTGCACCTTGCCCAATAGGTCCATCTGCGCCTCCATCTGCTCTCTCTATTGCTTTATTTCTTCCAATTCTCTGGCCGCCTGACTTACTGCATCCACTCTTTTTTTCCTTTCCCTCATCAGCCGCAAGTTCCACTTCATCCTCTTCTCATCTTCGATTGTCTGCCGTTTGAGAAGATCTTCCTGTGCATCCCAGTCTTTCATGGCCGCCTCCTGCTCTTCCCTAGGTACATACATTAATGCCGCCTCCTTTTCTCCCAGGGATAAATTGGCCACCCATTTCGTGATCTTCTTCTCCAACGGATCCTCCTTCGCACCGCTGGATTCTCCTCTTTGCCCGGTTCTTCTCCTCTCCAACGGCTGCTCCTCTACTTCTTCTTCTGCCTCTACCGCTCGAAGTTTTTCTTCCTCCTTTTTCAACCTCTCCATTTTTCTCGCCATCTCTTCCTCAATCTTCTTCTTCTTCGCTGCCTGTTCGTCCAGCAAGACCTTCTTCTTGGCCTCCTTCTTCTCTCGTCTCTCTTTTAGGATGGCGGCGGCTTTCGCCTTCTGTTTTGCTGTGTAAGGGGAGGTGCTCGTTCCTGTACACGTGTCAACCATGGTGATAGACGCACAACCAAGTGACGGCTCCAGTCCTCACCACTTAGACTCGCCCCCTAACTGACCCAACTTAAGACCGACTCGATCTAAGGACCACAGGATTCGTATAGAACCCTGCCAACTATGGTCTCTAGCCTAGACTCTAAACTACAGCCGTCACTATAGAACCTATTGCTGATCATGAGGCATTTAAGGAGATCCCCTGTAACTCCTTATGAATTCCTTAATGTCGCAGACAGGACGACGTAATCAGCAGGTTCTCTCAAGACTTAGACGACCCATTGTGCAGCCCACAACTCGGATTTTGGGCCTACCGTGCCACACCGAGCAGCCCGCCGGTCAGTACCGGTCCTTGGGAGGGTTCGTGTCCTCCGGGACAGTCGAGTCGTCAAACACAACCTTTAGCCCTACTCAGTCCATATGGGTTTGGTCAAAGAGGCCCTATCCTTCATACATAGAGTCCTATCACCTGGACAAAAGAGACTCAATGCAGAAACAGTAGATAGACAGACTCAGACTCAGCAAGTACCATAGGGTGAGTGCACATTCATAGTGCGAGGGGATAGGCTAAGGGTTTGGCGATATTATACTAACTCCAGCTTGGTCAAAATCTTGGTCAACAGCTCCAGTCAACGCCTTGGTCAACGCTCCAGTCAACCCTTTGGTCAACACCCGGTCAACTCTTGGTCAACACTGAAGTCAACCCTCAAGTCGGCTATGGTTGCCGACACTTTCTTCCTCGCCAACTTCCCTTCTCTTCACCTTCTTCACCTTCTTCACCTTCTTCACCTTTCTTCTACCTTGCCCCTTTCTTCTTCCTTTTTTTTTTTTTTTTTTTTTTTTCCACCATCGACTTTGTCTGTCTTCAACTTCGTTGTCCCTCCTTCCTTCTTCCCTGACTATGTCTCCTCCTCCCTTCTTCGTCACTCTGTGTTCGAGCTCCGCAGCTATGGCCGCCACTTCCTCTTGGACGACACAACCAATCTTGTATCGCTTAGCTCTCTCCCTCTCTCTCTGTCGTTGCCTTCTGTGCAGGTACACGGCACCTTCTTCCGGAGCGCAGCTATGGCGGACTTCTTTCTCCGATGGTGCACTTCGGCTATGGCACCTCACTGGCGCGCTCCTCCTTCCCTATCAGTAACGACTATGGAGCGTGGGGTAACGACCCTAACGGGAACCAGCTCCGATACCAGTGCAATCAGACTCGCTTTCACTTCCACTTCACACACATGCAAACAGATGGAGATTCACACCGGCGCAGGGCGCCCACTCAAAGCTTAGAGATACGGAAATCAAGAACACAGTTCAGATGCAAGTTCACTTCAACAGGCTATGGTGCATCGGCGCCTGAACATCCCAACCTTCATTACTGTGTCCAACCCCACTGTTCACACATGCTCATTCTGGATCACCCTGAATACCACCACACACACACACTTATTCTCACTTCCTCCTACAACGGCTATGGCCGCACTACCACTACTAGCTATGGCTACGATCTCCCTTTAGCCCACTTCGTCTTCGGGCAACCCGCAGACCACCTTCGCACAAGACGCTGTAGCAGTGCTTCCACATGGCTTACGCAGCGAATGAATGAATGGCTGGGCGCTGTCTCTTGATTTATACTTCTGTAACTCGTTGGTCTGCCCCTCTCCACCATGCCTATGGTGCACATAGTCCCTCATGGTACGTGCTTGTCTGGACTGGGACTGACTGGACCGGTACCGCTGACTGCATGGGTTTGCACTGCCAACTCAATGCAGTCGCACTGCCGACGTAATGCAGCTGGGCTCACCACTTGCCCACTTGCCTCTGACTAAAACGTGAGGCAGCTTCGAAAGGCCACTTCCGGACCTTCCGAAAGTCTGTGGACTTGGCCTTTTGAGTACTATAGCAGCTACGACCTTGACGTTTCAGGATTCCTATAGCTACGACCTCTACAGGGTTGTGACTCCTACTTGACAGATCTACAGATCGAACCCCTACCATTACACAGACCTACGACAAACAACAACAACTCTCAAACATAGGTCACGAGTTCAAATACTCGGGTCGACACAGATACTGTACACAGGTAAAGTGAGGACTAGGGATCGAGCCGTGGGACCTGCATCCGCTACTGCTAACAGGTGAATATCGTTTCACAGCTCAACACAACACAACATAGCATACCACAACATAACATAGCACGGCAGAGCACAACACAAAACGACAAGGCATAGCATAGCACAACATGATATAGGACAACACAACATAGCATAGCATAGCACAACACCCCATAGCACACCACAACACATGATGGCTTAGCAAGGCACTCTGCAACACAATGAGTTGTCCAGATGTGATTCACATCTAACTGAGAGTGTTTCAATTTTGGCTCGGATTTAGACAACGATATATAATCACCCCCTGCTGACTTGGAATTTCAGAGAACAAAGAGCACAGCATAGAATGATACAGCATAGCACAACACAACACAGTATAGCATAGCATACATCAACATCGCACTGCACGGCAAAGCATAGCACAATACGACAAATCATAGCACAGCAGAGCAAAGCATAGCACATCATAGCACAGCAGAGCAAAGCATAGCACATCATAGCATAGCATAGCACAACACAGCAAAGCATAGTGCAGCATAACATAGCATAGTATAGCACAACACAGCATAACATACCACAACACAGTATGGCATAGCAAAGCACACTGCAACACAACAAGTTCTTCGGATGTGATTCGCATCTAACCAAGAGATTTAATCAATGGGCATGTAGAGGGGGGGGAGGGGGGGCACATACCTCCCCCCCTGGGCCCCTGCCGACTCGGAGTTTCAGAGACATCCAGACCTGACTGTAGACTCTACTTCGTACACCCCAAGCTTTGGACCGTACACTGATAGTAAACAGACCCTCCTGACATGGTTCCAAGATGCAGCTGTAGCCCAGTAGGTATACATTTAATCCGAGACTCGGCCATGAAAGCTACAGCCCTCAAACCCAGAGTGTAGAGAGAGAGAGAGAGAGAGAGAGAGAGAGAGAGAGAGAGAGAGAGAGAGAGAGAGAGAGAGAAGCACAATGCTTCATTGTGGCGGACCCACCGGGTGTGGTGCTCCACCACGAGATAAAGATGGAGATTGAGGAAGAAGGGGGACTCTGGGGGAGCGAGATGGCACAGCGCAGCTCCCACTCCGGATTCCAACGCACGAACTCCAAACCGTGTGAAAGTAGAATGAGAGAGAAAACAGACAACTGTTGGGGTATACCTCAGCGGACTGACGGGGCTGGACTGGACTGGCTGGTACCTAGAAATGTTAGAGGCAGTAGCCTCAGTTTGAGAGCAACAAAGCAAGAACAAGAACCATATGTCATAGGAGAAGTGTGTCACAAACCAAAGGTTGGGATGGTCTATGAGGGTGGCGAATGCAGCCGAGGGGTCGAAAACTCCTAAGGGCATCCACACATAGTGACAGGGGGAACACATGTCATCAGGCTCAATAAGGGTAGGGCATTGGGAGCGAACAAAACCAATGACCCTAACAGATAGACCATCAGGGCGCGTAATGCTCGACTAAAGGGGTGACCGCTATGGAGGGTCGACCATGCAAGGGAACAAGGGAGCCTGGTATACTTGCCGCACCTAGATGAAGCATGCAAGGCTGCCTAACTAGGGCGTGAGGGCTGGCAGAGGGTAGAAAGGTGATGGGTAAGGGAATCATGCAAATGACTCATGAAGTGAGGGAAATCGGAGCTAGATCCGTAAGATGGGAAGCCAGGGCTACGCTACGGTCCCAATGCCTATGCGTATATCAAGGGAGAGCCCAACTCAAAGGAACCCGGCGAAGGGAGACCATCATGCGATACAACCAGGGTAATGTACAGGGTAAGGTCGTAAGAGAGTGATGACGTCTGAACTAGCCAGAGCTGATCGTGACAAAGTCCATGAAGTTGCCGATGACGTCCACGATGAGAAGTCCGGACTGTCGTCGAGGAAGAGTCGCAACGTCGACGAGCTGAAGTTGCAAAACTGGAGTGGATGGAGTACTAAGAAGTGAAAGACGTGGGAAGATAAGTTAGAGTCACTCGTCGTATCCAGCAGGACGACGACGAGTGCGCTGTGGACGCTCAGAAGCATTCAGCTGCTGCTGAAGGTCTGCCTCAGGTGGGGCAGGCTCGAATTCAGCGGTCTCCTCAGTCGGGGGAGAAGGAGGGTCAGTGGGCTGAGGAGGAGCAGTGAACTCAGCACGACGAGCACGGTCATAGGAACGCACCAACATGCGAGCGTGCTGCAAGTGCTCGAGGGGCTCCCAGGTAGCCTCCTCATCAGGGTAACCCTTCTAACGTACGAGATACTCGACGTGAGGAGGGTTCTCGTCGGTGACTCGACGACCATTGATGTCTGAAACGAGGAACTCCTCGTGGCCGTCCACCATGATGGGTGGAGGGAGCTCGTATGGTCATCCAGTGAAACGCTCAGACGGTCTGTGGTAAGGACGCAGTAACGAGACGTGGTAGACATCGTGCACACGAGCCTGTCGTAAGTAGTCGGACAGCTTCACACGGAAGCTGACCGGGCTAGAAGTCGTATCAGAACCGACAACCTTGAGGATGCGGCATGGGCCAAAGAAGCAATGCCGAAAATTGCAAAGCGTGTCCGCTTCGAGCGGTAAGTGGCGGGCGTCGATAAGCATATCATCACCGACTTTGAATGGATGATCCATCCTCGATCGGTTCGCACGTGCTGCCATGCGAGTCTGGGAAGCGGCTATGTGCTCATGTGCGGTCTTCATGATCGACGTCATGTGTGCAACCCAATCATCCAGTGCGGGACAACTCGTCTCGGGGTGCATCTGTGACGGTCGAAGGAAGTCCGCGGGGACACGAGGGTGATAGCCGTGGTCGCAATGGTAGGGCGACAACTCGTGGCTGGCGAGACGGCGTGGTTGTAGGCTATCTCCGCGTGGGCAAGATGGAGATCCCACTGCTGGCCGTCACGAACAATCTTTCGGAGAATATCTCCGAGAGTCCTGCTCGTGATCTCGGTCTGACCATCAGTCTGAGGATGGTAAGACGAGGAGAAGCGGAGCTAAGTGTCGTACACCTCGTAGAGTCGTCGCCAGAATCGGCTGGTAAAGCGCGGGTCACGGTCAGATATGATGCTCAGAGGTAAGCCGTGGTCAGGCACGACTCGGTCAAACACGATGTCGACGACCTCACGTGCACTGATGGCATAGCGACACGGAACAAAGCGTGCACACTTCGTGAAGTGGTCGACGACGACCAGGATAGCATCATAACCGCGGGGGGTCGGAGGATGAAGAGGACCGATAAAGTCCATTGAGATGGACTGCCAACGACCCTCAGGGATAGGAAGAGGCTGGAGCAAACCATAAGGAAGGTGGTTCGCACTGTTCACCTCCTAACAGCAGAGTCGGGCACTGGGCGCCCAGAGCGGCACCCACCTGCACCCACCCGACCCACAGGGTTATGGGTCGGATTTAGGTCTACATGAGCTGTCTTGGGTGGGTTATGGGCGGGCGCAGCCAGCATGCCTTTCTGGGTGACGGGCAGGTGAAGATTTGGCCTGGGTCACCCGCTGGGTGGGTGGCAGGCGGGTGATGGGTTGGCCTGGGTCACCCAACCCATAGACCCAGAATGACCTGAAATTTATGCCCTCCCCTCCCCCCCCCCCCCCCCCCCCCCCCTTCTCTCCTTGTGTAGTACGTCGGGCTTGAGGTTAAGAGCCAAAGAAAAATGTGTCTGATTCAGTTGACCAGGTCCCGATGAAGTAATGTCGGTGCAAAACCAGTGCAGTTGTCCCTGGGTAAAACAAAACAATCTTGAAATATTTTCCTTTGAGAAGTTCAAGTCGCATTGTTGATGAAACGGTTTTCACCTTTCGACAGTCAGAGATACGGGCCCTAGAGTTCGATCCCCAGACCTCACTTTGCCCATGTACAGTACCGAGTCGACCCCTGAGTGTTTGAACCCGTGATCTGTGTTTTGGTAGTTGTTTGTCGTCTGTCATAGGTCCGTGTAGTGGTAGGGGTTTGATCTGTAGGTCTGTCGATTAGGAGTCACAACTCTGTAAAGGTCGTGGTTGTAGATGCTATGAAAGGTCAAGGTCATAGCTGCTACAGTCCTCAAAGGTAAAGGTCGTAGCTGCTACAGTACCCAAAAGGCCAAGTCCACAACCTTCCGGAAGGTCCGGAAGTGGCTTTTCAAAGTGTCCCACGTTTAATTAGAGGCAAGTGGGCAAGTGGTGGGCCTTTAGTCGGAGGCAAGTGGGCAAGTGGTGAGCCAACTGTGTTACGTCGGCAGTGCGACTGCATCGAGTTGGCAGTGCAAACCCATGCAGTCAGCGGCACCGGTCCCAGTCAGTCAGAGTTCAGTCAAGCAAGTACCGTGTGGGACTGTGTGCACCAAGGGTCTGGGAAAGGGGCAGACCAACGAGTTACAGAAGTATAAATCAAGAGGCAGCGCCCAACCATTCATTCATTCACTGCGTAAGCCATGCGGAAGCGCTGCTACAGCGTCTTGTGCGAAGGTGGTTGGCAAGTTGCCCGAATATGAAGTGGGTTGAAGGGAGATCGTAGCCAGAGTAGTAGTGGTGAGCTGCCATAGCCGCTGTAAGGTAGAGGTACCTGATAGAGTGTGCGTGTGTGGAGTATTCAGGGTGATCCAGAGTGAGCATGTGCAACCAGTGGTGTCGGACATAGTGACGAGAGTGGGATGTACAGGCGTTGGTGCACCATAGCCTGTTGAAGTGAATTTGCAACTGAACTGTGTTCTCTTTGTCCATATCTCTGAGCTTTGAGTGGGCGCTCTGCGCCAGCGTGAATCGTCGTCTGTTTGCATGTATGTGAACAGGAAAAGAAGACGAGTCTGATTGCATTGATGTTGCCGTTGTTTTAATAATAGGATTTTAGATGTCTTTGTTGCAATGCTATGTTGTCGATGAAATCATGATCGTGTAGGGGACTGACATGGGCAGGCATGGGCTGATGCGGGTGGGTGCGGGTGAAGAAAATTTAGGTATTGAACGCGGGCGGGTGATGATGCTCTTACGCGTGCGGGCGGGTGTGGGTGAGGGTTTTTTTCGGGTCACGGCCGGATCGGGCGTGGGGCTGAAATATAAAAAAATATTTTGGGTGGGTGGGGTTGTCTAAGAGTAAAAAATAAAATTCTTGGGCCGGGTGGATGAGGGGGAAAAAAATTTGGGCGGGTTGGGTGTAGGGTGAGGAAAAAAAAAAATTGCCCACCTCTGCCTCACAGGTGGGACACTCTACAATGTACTCCTTCACAAAGTCTTTGCACTTCAGCCAGACGTACAGGCGGCTCACACGAGCCAACGTCTTGTGGAAGCCCAAATGACCGGCGGCTGCCTGGTCATGGAACTCTGCTACTGCGCGGACACGTAACTGTCCAATGGAGGGAACGCAAATACGGGGCTCTCTGGTGCCATGTGAACCGTGGCACAAGACTGTTGTCCCCGAAAGAGTAGTTCGGGACGGTCTTGCCACTCCGAAGGGTCGCGTGGATGTCACGATAGTCTAGGCAGTGGCAGTACTGAGTGCGAAACTCGTCGATCACCGAGTGGTGGACGGTGGTGACCGACATGGAAGAGAGCTGAATCTGCTCCTGGTCGTGGTCAGGGCGCCGGGATAAGGCATCTGCGACCCGATTAGTCTCACCCTTGATGTGCTCAATGGTGAAACTAAACTTGTATAGGTCGCGCCACCAGCGAGCCTGTCGAGGAGTGAGCTTTGGTTTTGTCAGAAAAGCCTGGACAACAGAGTTGTCCATGCGCACCTTGAATGGTGCCCCGTGCAGGTAGTGACACCAGTGTCGAGCGGCATAAACTACTGCGAGAACCTCACGTTTATCAGCGGTGTAGTTTATCTCGGCGGGCAGGAGCTGACGGGAGTAGAAGGATATCAGACAATCGCCTGAGCGAGACTCGGTAGTGTCGTTCTCGACGATGGTAGGAGAATAGTCAATAAAAGGCTCGTCAGTAGTTGGACGAATAGGCGTCAGGCGGGAGGCAGTGGTAGGGGTAGGGGGTGGGAAGCGAGGAATACGAGGATGAGAGGAATCAGGAGAGGAGGGAAAAATCTGAGAAAGCACTGCTCCTACAGCAAAGTCTGACGCATCGGTGGTAAAGAAAAAAGGGCGATCAAAATCGGGTAGGTGAAGAACCGGTGCGCATGTCATCGCCTTCTTGAGGGCGCGGAAGGTGTTCTCATGGAGGGGTGTCCAAGCCCAGGGCGGGTTCTTCCGGAGGAGGGTTGAGGTAAGGACGTAGGAATACCTAGTGTATCCCTAGATGAAATTACTATAGTAGTTGGTAAGGCCTAAGAAGTTGCGAAGCTGCTTGGCGGATGTGGGGACGGGCCACTCCGCAACAACAGTGATCTTCGCGTCGTCCATGTGGAGACCCTGGTCAGACATGTAGTGTCCTAAGAAATCCACTTTGTGCTAGGCAAAGCGGCACTTGCTCAGCTTGAGGTAGAAGCCATGTCTGCGCAAACGGTCAAAGACGTCGCAGAGGTGTCTGAGGTGCTCCTAAGCAGTACGACTGTAGACCAGAATATCGTCGAGGTAGACAAGAACGTACTGCTCCAGGATGTCCCAGAAGATGACGCTCATCGCCCTCTGGAAGGTAGCGGGTGCGTTGGTGAGGCCGAAGGGCATCACCGTAAACTCTTAGTGGCCGAAGCGCGATCGGAACGCTGTCTTCGGCTGGTCCGCTACAGCAACACGGATCTGATGGTAACCGCTACGAAGATCAATCTTCGTAAAGAAGCAGTTGCCTGCTAGGCGGTCGAACAGCTCATCGGAACGGGGCATGGGGTAGCTGTTCTTAACTGTATAGCGGTTGAGACCGCGATAGTCGATGCAGAGACAGAGAGTTTCATCCGCTTTGCGAGCAAAGAGGACGGGTGCACCCCACGAGGAGTCGCTGGGTTTAATGAAACCCAGTCTCAGGAGCTCCTCAAGCTGACGCTTGAGTTTGGTGACCTCGGGGATTGAGAGTCTGTAGGGTGCCTGGTGGTGAACACGATAGTCAAGCATAAGTTGGATGGAGTGCTCGACGTCGCGCATCAGTGGGATGCCAGCATACGACAACGACGATGGGAAAATGTCGTGGTACTCTCGAATGAGGTCACGGACTGCGGGCTCTAGGTCAGCCGTATATCGTGCGAGTTCCTCAGCGTCAACGTAAGCGCGCGACAGCGGGGTGGACTCGACGGACGGCGGAGGGTGGGAAGTAGAGATGGGAACCATGGAGATAGAAGGAGGATCTGGCTCTAGAGGGATGAGCTCGGCGTTGGGACAGGGTGGATCATAGTGTAAGAGATCCGTCGCGTTCACCATAAAGAATGTGACGTCGTTCTGTCGGATGAAGTGGGCGAATTGCTGAGGCGAGGTGACAGTGATAGAAGGAGATGGTGTGGGCACAGAAGGCTCCGAGGGAGGAGGATCGGAGCGTGGTGTCGCAGTGGTACCTATGAAAGGTACGCGATAAGTCTGTCCACACTTCGTTTTGAGAACGAGAGTGTTGGTCGCCCAATCAGCCTCGTTGCTGCGGAACTGACGAGACCACGAAGTACCAAGAATGAAGTCGCACCCCGTCTCCATCACATCGAAATGTGTGGAGGAGCGGTGGCGACGAGACGCCGGGGAATGATCAGTCGGCTCGAGAGTGAGGAAGAAAGGGAGGTTGGTGACCGTCTGATCGAAGAAGCGCTGGGTCTTGTCATCCCCTAGGGTGACAGAGATGGGAATCGGAGACCCTGTCGTGGGTAAGCGGGCTTCTTTCACCACACGTGCGTGAATGAAGTCGCCATGAGAACCGGAATCCCACAGCACTGAGTACACCCTCATGGAGGTCCCCTGTCGTACTGGAATGATCGGGAGGGTGCGATCAGGGTCAAAGAGGATGGTGAGAAGGCGACGCAGTGCAGCGACATCGAGGGTGTGTCACTCCTGACGAGCCTGGAGCATGCTCAAGTCCAGAAGAGAGGACACAACATCCTCGCAAGTCACAAGCTGCTCGGTGCAACGGGTTGAGCGAATGGCTCGACATGTCGGTAGTCGCAGCGGGGAAGGAGGGGAGACGGTGGTCTGCAGAAGTGCAGACGGTACTGCGACAGAGGGCTTAGTACACTCTGTCGGGTCACCTCAACTCCAGTAGCGAGGGGGGCAAACCACGACGGGGATGTCGGGAAGCCGACTACTGAGGGGGGCGCAGGTGTACACTGCACCGGGGCTAGGGGGTGCCTTGGGGATGCGAGGCGCCGGGGGGGGACTGAGCACGACGCTGGCGGGAAAGGTCGGGGCAGTGGCGGTCGAGGGCGACAGTGTAAGGGTACCGCGAGGAGGTATAACTATCCTGGAGGCATCGCAAACACCCACGCCAGCCCAAAATAGCCGCGCGCTCCTCAACGGAAAGAACACCGCGAGGAGGGACAAAGCCATGAGGGAGGTCCTGCTGAGGGACCTCGGGGGGCGACGCGCGAGCGTGACCGGGGTGGCTGCGCGCCCGGGAGAGGGCGGAGAGGATGAGCTGGAGGCACTCGACCATAGGGAGGGTAGTGTCCTCCAGGTGGTAGTGGACGGCCTCGCCGAGGTCGAGGTCGTCGCTATGGTCACCCTCTGGCGACAGCAGGGCAAAAGCGTCCTGCTCATCATACTTGAGCGAGCTGAAGCGGCGTGAGAAGTGGCGGCCCTGCTGCGCGGAACTGCGGGGGCGACCGTGGAAAGGGGAACGGCATTGGGAAGTGTCGTGTGAGGAGGAGGAGGCATCGCCAGTGCGCTGAGGCTTGGAAGAGGAGGCGGGGTGAAGACAGACCCGCATCCGCTGATGGTCCCTGGCGGCCTCGTAAGCCTGTGCGGCCGATGTGAACTCGTACCACCATAGCTCGGAGCGGTACTCAAGGGGAAGGCTGACCAAGAAACGATCGAGGGCAGCCTCAAGAAGGAATGTTACATCACAAATGAGGCGGGCGTCCTGAAAAACCTGGATGTGGCGGTCCAGGCCGGCAGCGCCACCAGAGCCGGACCAACATGTAGTGACGACACGCTCGAAGGCATCAGTCACATCATGTCGAGCTCCGAAGTGATCCTCGAGGAACGCCTGGAAATCCATGAAGGTCAGAGTCCGACCCTCATGAAGGGAGTAAGCGTAGAAATCGTCCCAAGGGTCAAAAGGACCGCCACGCAGGCGCGTGGAGAGGTGACCCACCCACGTGTCGGGTGGGGCGCCCATGAGCTGGAGGGTGCGAGTGGCAGACTGTAGCCACCGAGACATGCGTATGCGTGTACCGTCATACAAGGCAATGTTTGTCAAGCGGACGAGTGGTGCGCCACCGTTTTGGCGGCGAGGGGATCGAGGAGCAGAGGCCTGTGCCACGGCTAAGTAAGTCGGAGTAGGTCCTAGAGAAAGGGGTGCAGCTGACTGTGCGCCAGGGCCGCATGGGGAAGCAGCAGGGGCAACAGCGGCAGACTGCGAGGGAGTTGCGGTAGAAGAGGTCGCAGCAACTGCGGGAATATTAAGAAGGTAGGATGGGGATGGATAGGGTGCAGGGCGAGGGAAGCGAGCCTGCATGGAAGGAATGGTAGAGGAAGGAGGGGTTGCGCCCGAAGGCCCGGCCACCTGTGAGGGTGGGGGTGGCTGAAGGCGTAAGAGGGCGAGGTCGGCCCGGGTCTGGGCAAGCTCGTCCTCGAGACGTTGGATGTAGATCGAGCGAGGAGTGGCAGGAGGAAGAGTGGGGGAGGTGGACGCACGAGTGGCGTGGGGCATCCCAGAGGGGGAAGCGCTAGGTGGCGCTGCGGTCGTGCGAAGGGGAGGGAAAAGCGGGGCACCCGGAAAAGCTGAGACCGTGGTAGCGGGTTATGGTCTCGTGGCCGTAGTAACCGGAATCTGGGCGGGTGCGCCTGTAGACAGAGGGAGGGCCTGACCCGTGGTGGCCGTCGTGCTAGGGGCGTGGACGGTCACCAAGATGGCCGGGTCAGGGGCAGCGGAGGAGGATGCTCCACCGTGGCCACCCTGTCGGAGGACTGGGGACCCGGACAGGGAGCCAGGAGAAGAGAGAAAGTCAGGAGATGAAGGACATGCAGCGTCCTGGAGTTGTTGCATGTCGGCGGCAAGGGTTGCAACCTGCGCCTGTAAGGGCGCGAGGACCGCGAGTTGTGCCTGAATAGGCGCGAGGAGGGAAGTGAGGAGGGTGTGCAGATCCCCCTGAGGCTCATGGCCCTGGTCCGCCGGCACGGGTGTGGAGCCCGGTGCCGTGGTCGTCGCCGCGTCGGCGGCGTATGACACACCGTCGACCATGGGGAGGTGACGGGCCGGACTGGAGGGGGCCAGAGGAGGTCCGTGTGAGTGGAGGGCGTAGGGGGAGGTCCGCAGTAGAAAGCGGCGGACGGCGCTAGCAAGGCTAGCGCGGGCGCCGTCAAAGGGGGAGGGGTGGTTCGGGTCCAGAGTGGCCGAAGAGGAAGAGGAAGTAGTAGGGGGTTCGAAGAACTCTAAACCCTATAAAATCCCTAAGAAAACCCTAACCGAAGTGTGAGTGGTTAAGGTAGGGTACCCGTGAACTAATCAAGAAAATAAAATAGCAAGCGTAGGGGGTGAAGGCGGGAGAAAAATAAATAAACAGTGAGATTTCAAAAAAAAAAAAGAAATAAATAACGAAATAAATAAATAATAAAAATAATTAAAGAAATAAGGAAATAAAATATGAAGAGAGAAATAATATTTATTTTTTTAGAATTTTCGGCAGCATTTCCCTACCCCCCACGGGGTCAAGAATGTGCCAAGGGGAAAGGACAGACTAAGATAAGCACACCAGGTTTCAAACTGCCGCAAATTAAAAATTTCATAAAATAATAAATAAATAATAAATAAATAAGTAAATAAGTGGATGACGAGGTGGAGAGAAATGAAGTATCTGATTTTTCAAAAATTTCGACAGCATTTCGTTACCCCCATGGGTTCGCAGTGTGCCGAAAAGACTAAGTGAAAGAAAAAACAGAAAATTTTGGGAGCACTTCGTTACCCCCATGGGGTCAAATCGTGTGCCGAAAGCAAGAAAGACGAACACCTAATCAGATTTAAGGTTGCCGCAAAGAAAATCGAATTTTCAGAATAAAGAAAGAAAATGAAATAAATCAGAAAATCAGAAAAGAGGGTGGGGAATAAGATAATTCGATTTTTTTTTTGGAAAAAAAAGGAAATATAAATCAAGAGAAGATAAAAAGAAGAAAAAGGAAAAAACAGAAAATTTCAAAGTTGGGGGGAAAGGGGATGAAAAGGTGAAGGAGAGAAGAGAGAAATGGGTGGGAGAGAGAAAAAGAGTGAAGGGGGAGATGGGGGAAGTGATGGGGGTTGTTGGGGGAGAGGAGGGTGAGGGGATGGGAGGGATAGGGATGGGAAAGGTAGAGAGGGATCAAGAAGCAAAGAGAGACGAGGAGAAAGAAAAGAAAAGAAATGAATAGAATGGAATAAAAATGGTGGGTGGTGGGAGAAAAGGTGGGGTGGGGAGAGGGGTATGAGTAAGAGGAGAGAGAGAAAGGGAGGGAAAGTGGATTAGTAGGGAGAGGGGAGAAGTGATACCTGGCCCTTGGTGACTCCAAGGGCACAAGGTATACCAAGACCAGGAGGGTCTTGGCCTTCGCTGCAGCAAGCCAACTGGAGGAGAGAGGGAGCTAAGATCTTGATCAGCCCCTAGCAGCAGTTCTACAGATCTGCAGATTTAGGGTCTGCTGTGTGAGCAGACCCTCACCA